CACATTTAGTTTTAAATTACTGATCCCAAAGTATTATTTGAAATATTGCAGAACTTGTGATCCAGAGATGTTTTATTACCACAAAATCTTGTTTCTAAGGAAAACATACGCATATTCAATATACTTACTGGAGATGTTGATACTTGAGTTATTCTTAACTTGTTTTCCAAATCATGTACTTTATTTTTCAGTTCCATATTTTCTGTTTCTAAGTCTTGAATCTAAAAAGCAAATAATTATTGAATACCTTTCAGATACTTTTCCTTGGAAAATACTAACTATGATATTGGCTACATTAATGAATAGGATTTTGTATTATTTAAAATTTTAATGTCCTCTTCTGTGCACAGGGGATAAAATTATTTGATGAAGGTCGGGGATTGTTGAAGGATTCTAGGTCACCAGAAAAACATCAAATTTAAAATATATTTTTACGTGTATGCAAATCCTATGTTCCTAATGCCTCATCTTTGTGTTTTCTTGTTGCACTGTGCAATCTATACCCATAATCTTGGAGTATAACCACAAGACAGTGAAACTTGCTCATGATGATTCTGAAGAGTGGAGAAAGGGTGTAATTTAATTACAAAGGAATCTGATCTGCATGGGAAACCACTTACCCAGCATCTGCTGCTTCTGCTGCTCTGATCCCCATGAGAAGCATCAGGAAGTGAAGCAAAATCACATGAGAACACTAAGTTCTTGTGGGAATTCAATATAAAATAGTTAAAACTGTTCAGGGGATCAGGAATGAAAAATTATAGGACCACAGTGAAAGCCGTTCCAATCAGTGTAGGGGAAATTTAATGGCAAGCCTTCTAAATTTGTTTGATGATATGTAACTTTCCCTGTACTTACATCACACAAATGTGAAACAAGCTTAGTTTACTCACTCTTTTCTGTAACCCTGCAATCTGTTTTCTTGTTTCAACATCTTTTCCTCCAGATTCTAGAAATTTCCTGTATGCCAGGTCAAATGCTTGGCCAATTGTTAAAGTTATTTCTTCAGCCTTTATAAAAATCAAACAAAGAAGATTTGTATTTTAATAATAATATGTCAAAACTGTTCTTTGAATTAAGAAAAACATTCATATGAAGTACTCTAAGATAGTCACAGTAAGTACTTCAGAAGGGCGGTGACAGAAGTGGGGGGGTAGGGATGTAGTAAAGGGGGAAAGTAGTTTATGCTAACACAATAATTCAATGCCTACCTGAGTACAATATCGAAAAAAAGGGAGGGGGATTAATAAATAGCTCTTGGAAATTGGAAAGTTGCAAGCAAGAGTTCTTTCTGTTCAACTTCTCATCTTTTTTATTGTAGCATTTTTTTTCCTATTTGTTTTCCTTTCTTCCTCAAATATTTAGTGCCTATTAAATGACAGCACGGGGCCAAGTGCAGTTTCTCTTGTTACTTTGCCACTGACTTTCTTTCCTAGTGAAAAGGGTTTGTTAAACCCTGGGCAGGTACCTTGAATGAGGCAGACTGGGTGGTGTCTGTGGAAAACTTGAGATATGCCCTATAAATGAAACAACTGCTACTCAGTTCCAGTTAATTGTTGCCCAGTGGAAATGAGCAATTCCAATCCAGAATTTTCAGATCTTAAATATGTGAGATGAGGTAAGAAATATAAAATTTTATATGACAGCTCTCAATTTTAAGTGATGGTAAACAGTTTGTATGTTTGTAAAGCAAATAGGCCAATGAACAAAATATATCTGTCCTCTGAATTTGGCCTCCTAAACAATTTACAATCTCACATCTATCAAGTAGAAACTGCCACAAATTTCCTAAGTTGACCAGCTCATCTTTTCTTCATTCATATCTCCACTGATTGCATGATGTCTTGCACAAAGTAAACACAAAATAAAGATTTATTTCCTTAGCATCATAAAGAAGTTTGGTAAAGGCATTAATTGATTTAACGCATTACAAATGTCATATTTAGTAAGAACCCCAGG